GCCAGTTTGCCAATGGTTCTATGTGTATCTAGAATATATGAATATGAAGATTTTGACTCAGCAGGTACAAAGATGAATGAATACGTAAAGTACGCTACTTTTATCGTATGTATCTGATTGATGTACCATGTTTACTATAAAACAGCAGGCACGTCCGAGACCAAATATGGACTTGAACTAACTGATTCCTGGTATAAAATTCGTGCACGCATCGATCGACCGCTTCAACGTGCCCTGTCAAGATCTAAAATACGAATTGGTTACAAGCTGGAAATATGTGGTGCCAAAGTACATTCTCTGTAAGTGCGATTTTCTATTGGTTTCAACTTGATTAAGTTTTTCCTTTGTCATATCAACAGATTGAAGGTGGACGGGTTGGAGTGCCAGCTTTGGATGCTTTGAGCTCAAACATATATCTCAAACTTTCGGCCAATTCGACAAGACTAGCTAATTGGGATGCTAAGCTAGGAGTTGGAAAATTTCTCCCGTACGCGTTATTGCGCAGCCTTTCACAAGATGGAGGCTTTGTTTATGCAATTGATGTAGTAGTAATTCGAAAGTATCCGCTGGCCTTTCGTGAAACCATGGATGATGGAACTTTTATCACGCGAGATGCAAAGGGCGAAGAGGAAGCAAGGAAGGAATATGAAGTATGTATGACTGTTTTGTCACTTGATAATTGCGAATAACACTAACGAACATGATTCATCACAGAAAAAGGTCAATACGATAATTCAGTCGTCAGAAAACAAACTTGAAGAAATAAACGATGAAGCGGACTTAAAAGAAATGTGTCAAAAACCTTTATCTTTACAAGGTGTGTACAATTTTCAATTTTCTTTTAAACTTGCGACTATTTAATAATATTTCTTTCTAGAATTTCGAGAAATCACTTCCGGTGAAGAGCTTTATATGCTTATTAATAATAATTCCGAGGCCTTCGAGTTCTCCCAAAATTTAAGTCCAAAGCAAATCGAAAGACTCTGTGATTATATACAGAGAAAGGAACAGAA